CGGCGCTCGCGGTGCAAGCACAACCCGTAACCGTAACGAGATACACTACCAATGTCATTCATATTTTATAATACTGATATTTATACTACTAACAAACATAACGTAATATGCAAAATATAATATCAGCAAGATATTCTATGTAATGGTTTAGATTTAAAACTTTCATTAACACTGTGGTAAAACCAAAAATAATTTTTCTATAATCATATGTGGGATATTGCAAATTGGAGGTAGGTAATTACACTATGAACAGCACTTTTTTATTCATTAACATCAAAATTTAAGAGAAATCAAGGACGATTATAAAGTGGGGTTGCTATATAAGTAGTGCGGGAGCGGGACTGTTAGGCGACCCTCAGGAAGACGCCGCGACATGCGATCCAAGATGAAAACTATTGAACGGTTTAGAGATCATTCTTTGCCTTTTCATTTACGGTTGCGATTATTACCTATCTAAGCTCATTAAAAATAATCGTGTTTATGAATATAAAACCCAATTAACAAATCAACAATGCTAAATTACTTTTCAATTGTGTTTGGAAAAGAGAATTTTAGACAGACTTGAGAAAAGGAATGTTTTGTGAGATACGTGTGATGAACAGAACAACCCTGTCTTCAGGGTGAACATCGTAGGCAACGGAATCACTCCCGCAGTATTCGAGGGGACCTACCCTACCCGTCAGTCACCAAGGTCGAGGTCGAACGCAGTTTGTAAACAAAACATTGCTCTAACAATACTGTATCTCCATTGTTTCCTCCTCCTTTAATGTTAAATAACGTTATCAATATTTTATATGTTTTTGAAACACATACGTAACATATAAAATTAATTGTAAACCAATTTTATATTCAATAGTTTCCGTGTAAGTATTTTTGTATTAAATTGCATTTTTATAAGAATGAAATCACCATCGACATTATTCACCTATGAACGTAAGAAACTGTTAATTTTTTTATCCAAATAAATGAAATTTATTTAGCATCCAATCAAAGGTGGTCGCACTATGTTACTATACGTTTCGACTTTCGATAAAAGAGTTTATCGCTTGATAAACGTCGCGTCGCGACGGCGGTGTAGCGCGGACTGGCGGCTGGCGGCTGGCGGCTGGCGGCTGGCGGCGGTGGAGGCGGCCGAGGCTGGCTGGTGGCGGAAGGCGCGGGCGGCACTGGTCGCCGTCGTTGGAGAAAACTCAGTTTGCATTGCCAATGCATTCCGACACCATACCGCTAGACGCTAACCCGCTAGCCTTGCTAATTACTATACAATACTCTCTCATTCACAATTAAATTATCTGTTAAACTTACAAATGAAACTTGTATGAAACGTATTGAACAAGAATCCCATAATTAACGATGAAAAGATATTGTCCTACCCATTTTTATTTACATTTAAAACTAAAGTAAAAGAATCTATGCAATGGCAAAGTCATTTCCAATTTTAAATCAACCAACTTTGAAATTAGTAAAAACTGTTCAGTGTAAATATTATTTTAGATGAATACATTTCCTTTGTCGTGTCTATAGAAATGACAATAGACAGAGTAAGTCACAGCGAGGAGTCATTTTATTTTGCGCTCAGTAAAGACGCAAGTAAAATTCACATTGGCCATGTTTATAAATATACCCGGTAAAGAATTCCAATCCGATGGCGGTAATTAGACTTCTTTATTATATACATCAATAAATTATTACTAGCGATCCAAACTTATGTTTTGGCAACGTTTAACGTTTTTAACGTTTTCCGTTATTTCTTTGTAACAAAAAGTCCACCGTCAATTTTTTAAAAAATCAGCAAAATGAAAGTACATTTTAAAATTCAATTAAAAACAAAATAGCGCGTCAGAAAAAAATTTGTTTCTTGTTTCTCTTTTCGTTCTTCACCTTTTGTATATAAACGTTTTCCTGCTAATTGACTTTCCAGCAAAGGACCACTTTTGTAAAACTCTCTTTAATGTATTTATGACATTGCCTTTAAATCTTTTTAATTTTTTTTAAGGAAATGAAAATATGTTTAATTAAAAAAAGAAATGAAACAAAAATGTTTTAAAGCGTGATGGCTTGCTTGAAAGCGACATAACATTAAAGTTATGAAATTCTAAAGCTCGCCACATCCCTACGACGTGGAATTATTTCCAATTGGGGCCGATGAATGATCTCCATTGGATAATAGTGCAAAAAAAAACAGAATTGCTCCTGTATTGAGATGAGGAGATTGCGAGGGAAGGGGAGGGAAGGGGAGGCCTTTGTGCCGGCCCCAACCGCTGCTAAAACAAACTAGGCACTGTATTGTGTCCAATTTGTTTGTATGCAATGCATTCAGTACATATTTCCAATTACTAGTCTTGGTACATAAAATACTCATTCTTTGCTAGACAGACATTAGGAAGATATTGTAGAACTTAAAGGAATTGTTTAAACATGATTTTCACAAATGTTAATATTTTTATTAATAACCCTTAACCAAGTATGGTTTAATATTGTCATATGGACAATGTAAAGGCAATAAGCAACATGTCTTATTAAGCTAAGCGATTGTAGAACGGAATCAAGAAAACGTCCAACACCAATGCAAATATTAATAGTTCATAATAATTTATAGTAAGCTAAAGATTTGTCGTGAATATGCAAAGAAAAAATTCTTGTAATAGCCGGATGTCGCAGTGCTCAGCGACGGCGAGAACGCTATGAGAGCTGTCAATTTCCCTATAATTAGATATTGACTTAACATGCAGAGACGCCGGCGGCGGAGCCCACTTGTGTCTGTGCCCTCTCTATTGCGAGATAACTTCACACTCCCGGTCGCGTGTGTGCTACTCTACATTTAATCAATGTTCAACATCACTACAGATACGCCTCCGAGGAGTTTTATGTAGCATTTCAGTATATACTATTGTTTCCTTCGTCAATTTATATCTTAGTAAATAGCATTTGTGTCGCGTGCAGGTTGAGGTATGGTAGAAATGTTAAGCTTATAACGACAGCCATTATTTGAGAACGCCAAATGGCAGATCTTTGGAGGTTCAGAAAATTTAAATTCTGCCAGTTTGTTAAATTTGATTTGAAAAATTTTGATGTGTGTTTCCGTTGTTTGTAGCGTTAATGCAGATAGTTTTTGTTGTTGTTTCCGTTATATGTAAACAATGTTGTATTCAATTGCCGATGGAGCTAATGAC